GATGAAGGTGATTCCAGAGGTGATCAAGATGACGGAGACGATTCGGGAGGTGACGAAGGTGACTCTGAAGGTGATGGAGACGGTTCGGAAAGCGATGAAGGTGATACCGAAGATGATAAGAACGGTTCAGAAAGTGATGAAGATGGCAAGAGAGCAACGATACAGTTCTCATTGATTTACAACTGTCCATGGACAACAAATTTCCGTTTTCCTCCGGTACAAAAGTTTCGAAAATCAAGGAAGTGTTCTAAAGTATTACCGTCATCTCCTACGCAAACATTTAAAAGACTCTTTTGTAATAAAGTGTTCAATCTCATTCTTGAACAGACTAATATCTATGGGAGACAGAAATGTGCAAAAGGCGGTGATGTGATTCGTTGGATTGATATTGAAAAATCTCAATTGGAAAAATTTATTGGCATTAACATAATCATGGGATATTGTAAAAATCCTTCAATTGATTCCTACTGGTCCACGGATGAATCCTTTCGAAATGGGAGGATTTCCATGTCAATGCCGCGTAACAGTTTTAAAAGAATCTTGGGAAATATACATTTAGTTGACAACTCAAATGCAGAGAAACAGAAAGAATTAGCGCCTAACAAGCTGTACAAAGTATCACATTGTCTCAAACTATTGAAACAAAATTTTCAGACACATTTTGATCTTGGCGAAAAATTGACAATTGATGAAATGATGATCAAATTCAAGGGCAGATCCTCCCTTAAGCAATATATAAAGCAGAAACCAATCAAGCGTGGCTACAAAGTTTGGATATTAGCTGATACATCGACTGGATATGTGTATAATTTTGACATTTATTCCGGTAAATCGATAGAACGACAGGTGCCTTTGGGTGAACATGTTGTTTGGTCACTTACGAGAGAACTCTCAATGAAATTTTACCATATTTATTTTGACAATTTTTTCACATCCCCATGTCTTGTTGAAAAACTTCTGGAAGATGGTATTTACTGCACTGGTACTCTCAGAAGCAACAGAAGAGGTGTTCCGGCTGAATTAATTCGTAATATAAAAATGAATCGTGGTGACGCGAAATTTGACGCGAACTCTGAAAAGTAACTAAAACCTTTCTTAATGAGGTATAACTGTAGCCCGCAAATTTCTGATTAAAATGAGCCATCTCCAGCTCTACACAACCTCTCTTTGTGAAGTTATAGAATTTACAAGAAA